CTGGAGGCTTTCAAGAAGAGACTGGACTGCCATCTGTCAGAAATGGTGTAGGGTCTCCTGCTTGACTAGATGACCTACAAGGTCCCTTCCAACTCTGTTAATCTAATTAATGTCCACTGATTGGCATACATTAAAATGAAATTTCATTGCACACAGCTCTCAAAGGATCTCCACGTCTAATATGCACTATATAAACGTGACAAAATAAATACAAAAGTATGCATATACCCACACATATGACATGGAGAAGCAACATAGTCTAGTTTGGATGTGTACATGTAGATGGCAATACAAATGAATCTTGCGAGTTTACCGGATGGGAGGCAGCTGTTCCAGAATCTAGTAGGCCTATTACAAATGGAGCAACTCCATTTCACCTCCATTGAATAAGGAAAATAATAATTTGCGAAGGGTCCCTTGCTTACAAAGGAAGGTTATTTAAAACAAATATTTTATAGTTAATGGATTAGGTTTGAGGTTGAGTTTCATTAGTTCTTAGAAAACTCAACTTCACCACGCCTGGTTGTTAACACCATGAAGTCAAGCAAGATGATAGTCAACAGCTGCATATTGAAGGAGTTTGCAGGGGGTTGTTCCCAGGTAGTCCTCGACTTATGACCACAATTGGGACCCACCCAAATTTCCATTGCTAATCGAGGCCCTTCTGAAGTGACTCGTGCCTGGTTTGACGGTCTTTTCCGCTGCGGTAAAGCAAATCAGTGCGGTTGTTAAGTAAATCCTGTTGGTCGTAAAGTGAATTCGGCTTTCCCCCCTTGACTTTGCTTGTTGGAAGGCAACTGAGAAGGTCACAAATAGCAACCACATGACCTCCGAGGATGCTGGGATAAATTAATGACCATTACCAAGCACCCATTTTTTGAGCTGAGGATTCTGTGACGGTCATTAATACGAGGACTGCTTGTGAGTCGCATTTTCAGGGCCATGTAATTTCAAACAGTCGCTAAACAAATGGTTGTACATTGAGGACTACCTGTTTTCTTTTCTTTTAACGACCCTGTTAATCCCTTGCATCAGGGTGGAATCAGGGTGACTGAATGGAGCTGAGCATTTACAGTCCTGATGCCCTTCCTGACACCTACACGGTGCTCACAGCGGACAATTTTTACTCATGGTGCCCAGAGAGAGAAATATCTGCTGCTCCCTAGAACTAAACTCACAACCTCTTAATTGTGAGGCGAGAGCTCCACCTCTAGGCCACCACTCTGCTCACATTAAAGACTACATATAACATCGTTGCTGTCGTCTTTTAACGACCCCATAATCCCTTGCCGGGTGGAGTCTGGCCAACTGAATGCAGCTAGCAGAGTCTTTTAATGGCCAGATGCCCTTCCTGTCACCAATGCAGAGTTTTGTTCAGCAGATACTATTCTCAGTGTGCCCAGAGAGAGAAATATCTGCCTCTACCTAGGATCGAATTCACAGCCTCCTGATTGTGAGGCGAGAGCTCCACCTCTACCTATAATGCAGCCGTAAAATCTGATGATTTTTTTTTCATTTATCAATGATGCTTGTTTTCTTGGCTGAGTGAGCATTGACGTTTTCTGCTTTGTTTTTTTCCCCCCAGGATCCAACTTGACCCATTATTTCAGCCACACCTCCCTCGCCAACAATCCCGCTCGGGCCCTGTTGCTGATCGGCGCCATCTTGTTGGCTTATTGGTTTGTGTCTCTTCTCCTCGGATTCTTCTTTTATCTCTTGCACATCCTATGTGGGCGTTTCTTCTGGATCATCCGAATCGTCCTCTTTGCTCTTTCCTGCGTCTACATCCTGCAGAAATATGAGAGCGAGCCCGAGCATGCCGTCCTTCCCCTCTGCTTCGTGGTTGCTGTCTACTTCATGACGGGCCCCGTCAGCTTCTACTGGCGGAAGAATAGTCACAACACTTTGGAGGAGAAGATCGACCACCTCGACAGCCAGATCAGGCTTCTGAACATCCGCCTGTCTCGCGTGATCGAGAACCTGGACCGAGGAGGTGACTAACAGGAACATCACCCTTCCTGCAGGAGACAGGCGATTGTCTCGTCCATGGCGAGGCAGACTTTGGGGTAAAGGAGATGTGCACCATCCAGCCGTTAGTCTTCGCGTGTATCTTGTCCGTCCGTACCCCGAACGAAAACACAAATGAACTCATAAAATAGATTAGCTGTACGTTCAGACATGTTCGCCCATGAGTAGAATTTTATCTGCTGTTTTCCAAGCATTTGAAACATCTTTTATATAAAAAGAAAAAAAGAAAAAGAAAAAAATAAGAGGGAGGGAGGGATTTGATGAAGGCTGATGGAGTCATTGGTTTCAGACAAGAAAATTATCTATAAACCGGTCACCGATTTCACCTTCGGAAAGAAGGAAGGAAGCACGAAGAATTCAGCTCTAGAGGAACAGTCGTGAGGATCGGTTTTCCTTTCTTTCTTTTTTCCATCTTGCCTTCAGTGATCATTTCATGTTATGCCTCAATTTGTCTTTTTCATATAATTGCGAAGGAAAAAATAAATTATTTGAGTCAGATCCAAATAGGGTTCACCCTGAATTTTGAAAGGAAGAGGTTGCATCCTTCGGATATCGACGAGAAGCATCAAAACTGCTTCTGTATTTTTTCCCTCCTCCTATCAGTTTTACTAAAAACAGGCCCTTTCTTTAGCCTACACACAAACACACACACACAGTCCAGCTTCCTATAAATGGTTGAGCCCCCTTCTCCCAAACCTCTCCTGCTAAAATCTTCTGGCTGCCCACGTTGGCTCTTCTTCCTTGGCACAACTTAAGCAAAAGACCTTGAGGGAGTGTCAGTCAGATAATATCTGTGGAGAACAGCCTGGTGTGTTTTCGGAATAGAAGTTACATTTCTATCGAAATTATGTGTTGCCTGAAAAAAGAGAGAAAAGTAGAAATAAACCCCAAGCAAACTCAGCTCAACTCATTTTTAAAACGCCGCAGTCACAATCGGCGACAGATTAAAAAAGGATTGCAAAAAAAGAAGAAGAAAAAAGTGGGATACGGGAATCTTTCTCAGGATTAACGTGGCAATAAATTCCATAAAACCGTCAACTTCAGAAGGATCTGTGCTTCATCTATCCAAAATCTTTTTTTTTTCTTAGCTAATACGGAGGAGACTATTGTGTTCACTCCTTAAAAAAATGGAGTGGCTAATTTGGTTTGCCATTAAAAAAAATTGCCCGAGTGACCATTTGAGGTTCCTGGTGTAAATGGTACCCGCAAAGTAGTAAACCACCAAAGAATTAACATTTTTCCCCACGTGTTTCTAACCTCAAAAAACACGTTACTCTTTGGCTTGAAGACCTATTCCACTGTCAGTCATTTTCCTGGGAAAACTGGAAGCTGTGGGAATAGATAGCATCTCCTGACCTTGTGATCCCCCTTTGCCTGGATGACGATGTGTGTGTGTGTGTGTATCTGTTCTGACCTAAAGGACATTATAGACTCTTGTGAGTTGGTGTCTCCTTCCTTCCAGAAAAAACCCAACATTTTTTGAAGGTTGCCACTGAGTCCTAATCATTCCCAAATGAAGGCAAACACAAAACCACCATTTTTCTTCCGCGATCTAATTCTCCAAATAAAAGAATAAAGATTTGCGATCTTGCAGAATAAGAAAGGGCAACTTGGAATTGAGAGAACGTTGGTTAAAATGAACTCCCTCCTTTAAATCAGCTTCCCGTAGTGGCAATGCAGGAATTAGAAAAATATATAGATGTATATGTATAAATAGATTTGATATACACAGCATTTTGTTTGGTATAAGGCCACAGTTGAAAAAAGAATAGAGATATAGAGATATATATTGCCCCCGCTGCCTTGGTGCAGATTTGGCTAAGTAAAATAAACAGGAGCACAAATTATTGTACTTGAAATAGACTCTTCTTGTCATTTCCTTGCAGAATTTTGAAAGTGAAGATGACCTTAAGTTATCCCCCCCCCCACCTTATTCTATTAAAAATACAAATGTGGGTGGATTTTTTCTGATTTATTTTTCTTCTTGTTACTGTTCACTTCTCTTGTGGCTAGTACCATCAAGGTATTTTTTCACCTTTGCTCATCTAGAGGCCTAGAAAATACCCTGCTTTGTAGAAAACGGGTGTTGGTAGCCTATTTATTCAATATATAGGTTCAGGGAGAAGAATTAAGCATTGCAGTTAATTATGGATGGCTGTGGTTGGCCAAGGGCAATAGTAAAGTTTTTAATTTGATTTGTCATTCAGGAAAGCAGAGGTGAAATGTTCAAACTAACCAGCTGCGATTCCTTTCTTACAAACCTTACATCCATTTTCAAATTGATACTAGATGTTTTCCCCCCAGCCTGAATTAAGATTGGATTTTTACTGTTGTTAATTCCTAACAGTTTGGAAAAACAGGTTTGCAATGCGTGCCAGCTTACTGTTACAACCTCTGCAAATAATTATTTTTTCCCTTTGTTGCAAGGTCAGCCGATCTTGGTTAATTCTAACTTGGATTGTCATTCAGATCCTCCTCGGTATAATTCTGGTTAGAATTACCCATGAGGATACTATTGGAAGCAAAATACTTAGATGCCAAAGCAGGCTTGAGAAAGCAAGCAGGCTTTGCATTCCTTAAATAATGCAAGAATATACAAAGCTAATCCTCTTTTGTACAAAGATATTAGGCGTGCTAAAAATTTTACTTTGCCAAGATTTTTACGTTCCTAGGATGGTTTTGGTTCAATAAATAGACCGACTTTAATTTTTCTAATCATTCAAAACAACTTAATAAACCCCAATCTTACGGGGATATTACAATGATGGCAGCTCAAGGGAATTTTTTTCCCCAACCGAAAATTCCAGTCTTGTGTTAAAATCAGAGTGTCGTGTGAGACATTTGTGGTGAATCATCTGTGCAATTATTGTGATCAATTGAGGCACGTCAGCCTGAACAAGAAATAGAGCAGAACTACTGAATTTAATGTTTTTTTTTTAAAGTTGTCTTAGGTTTTGGAATATTGTGTGCAAATGTGTGCTAAGATAATGTCATACTTTTGCCTTTTGGGATATAATTGGGTTGGATATTTTTTTGTGAGCTATCTTTATTTGTTGGCTGTAGGTTATATATATTTTTTCTGTTGATAAAGGTGAAATGTGTTTTCTTGCCTGTTAATTTGTATTTTGCAGCTAAGATTCTATCTTAACTGGCTTCTCTTATCTTCTACTTATTTTAAAGATCTTTAATCTTTCTTACATTTTGCATGAAACTTAAAACTGCTTCCTTGATTCCCGGGATCCTTGTTGCCAAGTGCCATGTTTAAAAATGTCCTGTTGTAAAAGCAGAAATATATAGTATCTAGATATCTAGATATAGATATATATCCCTGGATCCTAACTGTTTATCTGCACTGAGTGTAGTGATTGATTATCCTACCTGGACATTTGATCTCCTAAGTATTAAGTTTTTTTTTAAAAAAAAAGTCTGTATGGCAAAATTATGTGTTTTGTTTAAGGAAAAAGAGATGATTTTGGTGAGAAGGAAATGTCATGGGCCTCCTTTTAATCAATGATCTTAATAAAACCTTAGTTCTATGAATGATGCTGTTGAATAACTGTGAAGATTTGGAGGAAACATTCGTCCACACCTTTATTTATTATTTGACCATCAAGACCTATGTACTTCTACATAGTGAATCGTTTGTAGACTGATGTCACAACTGAATTAGGGTGTGGTGACCAAATAAATCTTAAATGTTTACTGTAACTTTTGCAGTGGTATCTTTATTGTGTGCTCTCTCCCTCTCTCATCCATCTATCCATCTATCTATCATCTATCTATCCGACCCCATAATCCCTTGTGGGCTGCAGTCTGGGCAACTGAATATAGCTAGCAGAGTGTTTTAATGGCCGGATGCCCTTCCTGTCGCCAATGCGGAGTTTTGTTCAGCAGATATATTCTCATTGTGCCCAGTGAGAGAAATATCTGCCTCTACCTAGGATTGAACTCATAGCCATATGTCCTCCATACGAATCTTCATAATTGCTGGATCTACGACTAGTCACATCTCTCCCCTGCCCTTTCTGTCTTTCTTTTCCTCTTTCCCCCTCTCTCCTCTTACTTTTTCTCTCTCCCTCCTTCTTTCTCTCCCTTTCTTTTTCTCTCCCTTTCTTTCTATTTCTTTTTCCTCTCCTCTCCCTTTCTCTCTCCCTCCCTTTCTCCCTCTACACCAGGGGTGTCCAAACTTGGGAACTTTAAGACTTATGGACTTAAACTTCCAGAATTCCCCAGCCAGCTTGGCTGGGGAATTCTGGGAGTTTAAGTCTACAAGTCTTAAAAGTTCCCAAGTTTGAACACCCCTGCTCTACACAGACACAACACACTATCAATTTACACAAGGAAATGGCATCCTGAGTTTGTGGGGTGCAGATTTCATTCACACTTCCATGCAAAAAGAAAAAAAAAAACCAATAAACTTTTTACTGATTTATCATCTGGGGTTGATGGGAAAATGTTTTTTTTACTGAACCCTAAATGCGGAATCCTGATTTTGTTGCAAACAAGGTGCTTTGCTTTTATTAATTAATAACCTTAATTAAAACAAACCACCAGTTAATTTTAACTAAAATAAACCAGAGTTTCAGCCTCATGGGTTAGCAGCATCGCCCTGCTCGTCCCGTTCCGCTATGACTGGATTTCCCGCCGCGTTTTGCCTCCCACTCGCTCGCGGGAGCCCCGCAAGCTCCTCCTCTTCCTTCGAACGGACTTCTTTTAAAAGTACCATAGAGTCGGAGCCCTGGGTTGGGGGCGAGCGAGTTCTCGCGAGACGAGACGTCAGAAGGCGGAAGTGTTTGCTTCCCGGGGATCCACGTGGGCTGGAGAGGTTGTGTTGATGCGCGCCTCTATGGGGAAGGCGGAAAAGAAGCGCAATTGGCGGGCGCGGCTGCCAGGATCGCCCAGGAGAGGGGCTGCCGCTCCCCAGGAGCCTGTGCAGCTGGAACTGGGAGGTGAATACTATTTTTATATTTTTAAACTCACCTTTTTGATACAGAACTCAATGCCCACCTGGGATTCCCGCCTCCTTTTTGCCTTGTAACAACAGCCTTGCGAGGTAGGCTAAACTGGGAGAGGGAAGGAGGGGGAAAGGGCAGGCCCCAAAGATCAATGTAAAAATTCAATGTAGAGAAAAGTAAAGTCCTACACTCAGGCAAGAAAAACCAAAAGAACATATATAGACTGGGTGAAGCCAGGCTTATCAATGACTGTGAGAGGGATCTTGGAGTCTTAGTGGACAACCAGCTAAACATGAGCCAGAAGTGTGCAGCAGCAGCACCCAATAAAGCCAATGCAATCCTAAATTGCATTAACAGAGGGATACAATCAAGATCAAGAGAGATACTAATACCACTCTATAAAGCCTTAGTAAGACCACACCCAAAATATTGCATCCAGTTTTGATCACCATGCTATAAAAATGATATTGAGATTCTAGAAAAAGGGCAGAGAAGAGCAACCAGGATGATGAGGGGACGGGGGGGGGGGTTAAAACATATAAAGAAAGGTTTCTGGGTATGTCTAGTCTTATGAAAAGAAGGACTAGGGGAGACATGATAGCAGTGTTCCGATATCTCAGGGGTTGCCAGAAAGAAGAGGGAGTCAAGCTATTCTCCAAAGCTCCTTGAGGGCAGGACAAGAAGCAATGTGTGGCAACTAATCAAGGAGAGAAGTAACTTAGAACTAAGGATACATTTACTGACAGTTAGAACAATTAATCAGTGGAACAACTTGCCTCCAGAAGTTGTAATTTCTCCAACACTGGAAATTTTAAAGAGATTTGACAACCATTTGTCTGAAATGGCATAGGGTTTCCTGTTTGAGCAGTGGGTTGGACTAGAAGACCTTCAAGGTACCTTCCAACTCTGTTCTTCTATTCTATTTGACTAATGGGGATTTTGTCAATGCTGAATGATTGTCAAGTGATGTTCCTAACTATTTTGGGATTGCACCCAAGACACCTGTTAACTATTGTTGCTATTTTTGCCTTTGAGTTCATGGGACTTATTTCAGAGTGAACGCGCATGGAGGTGGAGTAGCCAAATAGGGTTGCAATTTGACCTGGTGAGCTCATCTTTGTCTTTCTCCCACCCTGACTAGATGAAACCATCTTGAAAGGAGTGGATGGGAGCAACGCCCTTGTCCTTCCGTCTCGAAAAACCCAGGAAAAACCAGCAACCTGCCTTAAAAGTCCAGGAAAGAAACCCCTGACAAAGAAGCAGAAGAAGAATTTGCAAAAGGTTTTGGAACAAAAAGCCAAGAAGGAAAAGGTGGGCGGTTTGATTTTAGGAATACTCCACGCTTGATTGAATAGGGTGACACAGGGAGGCAGGAGACGTCACCCTCTTTCTCACATGGTTTTGTTCTGTTGGGTTGGGTTTGAATTTCTAGCGAGCGGAATTGCTGAAAAAGCTGAGCGAAGTCCAGGTGCCTGAAGCCGAAATGAAGCTTCTCTATACCACGTCCAAGCTTGGAACAGGAAAACGGATGTTCCAGGTGAAAAGGTAAGATAAGGAATTGGGGGGTCCCTGGCGCTTTCTGAACTTGGTGGGTTTCTTGCAGACGTTTCATGACCCAGTGCTAGAAGGTGTTGTGGCCCAGATTTGGACAGTGAGGAGGTTAGGGAGGAACATGGGGCAGTCCTGGAGTCTGGGGAAGGCTCTGATGGCTCTGTGTCGTAGGCAGAGAGGAGGCCAGGCCCATCTGACAGTTATCAGCTGCCTTTGGAGTTAGACTTCAGTGAAGCAGAAGAACAGCTGGAGCCTGTTCCCAGTGTGCGCATGCGCAGATTTGCCAGACGAAAGGAACAGCTAAAGAACAGGGGTCGACTTGGGAGTAAGGCCACAGATGGAGGATGAATAGCCCCTCCCAGAGGAAATAAAAAAAGGAGAGAAAGGGGGGTGGAGTTTGCAGGAGA